TGTGTCTCTTTTGCTATCTCTTATCGCCGCTGGACCTCCCCTCCTCGTGAACCAAACACTCGTGAACAACACAACTATGTCGAGGTCAGACCCCGGCAAGATTATATGAAGAGAAAGTGTCATCAGGAGTGGAGGAAGACTCATTAAAAACCTGCAATATGCAGATGATACAACCTTGCTTGCTGGAAGCCAAGAGGACTTATAGTATGGATTGCTCATCAATGTAAAGAAAACTAAAATCCTCACAATTGGAGTAACAAATAACATTATGATAAAAGCAAAGATTGAAGTTGTCAAGGACTTCATTTTGCTTGGATCCACTATTAACACTCATGGAAGTAGTAGTCAAGAAATCAAACGACATATTACATTAGGCAAAAGACTTTTTAAAGTGTCAAGAGCAAAGGTATCAATTTGAGGAGTATGATGGACCTGACCCAATCCAATTACCCCACATACACGTAAAAGTTGGACAATGAAATAAGGAAGACCTTGGACGAATCAATGCATTTGAATATGGTGTTGCAGACGAATATTAACGGTACTATGGACTGCCAGAAGAACAGAAGTGCAGCCAGAATGCTCCTTAGAAACCAGGATGGTGAGACTTCGTCTCTCATACTTTGGACCAGTCCCTGGAGAAGGACATCATGCTTGATAAAGTGGAGGAGAGTCAATGAAAAAGACGAAGACCCTACCCCCAATAAAATGGACTGACATTGTGGCAACATCAATGGTGTCAAATGTAACAATTATGAGTATGGCACAGGACCAGGCAGTGTGCAGTTCTGCTGTGCATGGGGTTGCTATGAATCGAATCAACCTGACAACACCTAACAACAACAAAAAATCTAGGTGAGATTCTAAAGTGGCTGTATTTAATTAGGACTTAATGAAAAAGGGGAACCAGGAGAAAGATTATTCAAGCTAAGTGGATTGTTATTGTGTTGTTAAGTGCCACTGAGTCAGTTCTGATTCATAGAGACTCTGTACAGGGTTTCCAAGGCTTTTAAATCTTTTTGGGAGCAGAAAGCTTCATTTTTCTCTCATAGAGTGGCTGGCAGAATTGAACAGTGAACCTTGTAGTTTACAGTCCAATGTCTATCATATGGCGCCATCACACTCTCAGCTAAGATAATTATTAATGCAAAATCAGAACGGTGTAATCGCATACTGCACATCTAGAAAACTTCAAACATTTTGAAGTGGTATGAGTAAGTTTAAGTGTAAGACAGAAAAAGAAATGTTCATTATTCAATCAACTTGGGCACTACTGTATGCCAGGCACTGAGCTATGTACTATGGATTACACTGATGCATGAAACAGATATGGCCCCTGATATCTTGAATATAAAATTCTAATAGAAGGACTAATATAAAATAAATAATTACACATGGAATTATATAACTGTCATAAATGATAAGAAGGAAAATAATAAAATTTCATGAGAATGTATAGCAGGCAAACTTAACAGTCTGGATAATCACTGAAGGGAGTTGTAAAGTAATTTAAACTGTGATCTGAAGAATGAGTATGAATTAATGAGAAGTGACAAGGAAAGAGAGGGGTTTTTATGGTATGCAGTGTGGCGCTGTGGGTTAAAATGCCAGACTGCAAAGCTGTTTGAACTGCAAGGTCAGTGGTTCAAGCTTGGAACTAGCTACTCCTTGGAAACCCTATACAGGTCAGAACCGACTTGATGGCACTTAACAACAACAAGTAGGTTCAAAGGATGCAAAGACATTAGAAGGATGACACATTCGAAAAACTAAAATGCCAATGAAAATATAATGAGTAAGGGGGAAAAGAGGAATGAAATGAAGCCTCAAAAGCTAGGCAAGGGAGTATTACCATCACTGCAGTACAATCAAGAATATCTTTGAAGATGGCTAGGACTTTGATGGCAATAGAGACAGTGGATGGAATGGAGATCCATTTTAGTGGAAAAATTGGCAGAATCTGGCAACTAATTGTGCATGGAACAATCAGGAAAAAGGGTGCACACTGAAGATGCTTTTCAAGTTTTTGGTATAAAAATTTATGGATAATGTTATCACTCATTGACAATATGTAACACTGAAGAAAGAGAAAGTTGGAGGGAAGCTGACCAGAATCACTAGCGTGGAGTTGGGACACACTGATTTTAAGGTACCTCTGAAATGAGTGGGAGAAAGAAGAGGCTTTCTGCTCCCACAAAGATTTCAAGCCTCGGAAACCCTATACAGAGTCGTTATGAGTTAGAACCAACTTGACAGGCAGTTTATAGCAACAATATGAGACAATGAAGTGGAAATGGCGAGTAGGCAGTTGGACACTCTGGTGTGGCTATCAGAATGATGATTTGAGCTAGAATATAACACTGGGAGTGGTTAGTCTGGTATTTGAGCATAAAACGGGATGAGATGGCCTAGGGGGAGAAAGAGAACTGAACTAGGACTGAGTCCTGAGGAACTCAAATACTTAAAAGATCAGATAGCAAGAGGACAGACAGCAAAGGACACTAAGCAAAGCAGCAGCCAGAACACTAGGAGGAAAAGTATAATAGAAGCAAGAAAAGAAAGCATATTTAGGAGAAGAGTGATTTCTTTTGTCAAATATTGCTAATTTGATACTGAAATACACTTATTAGCTTTAGCAGTCTGATGATAATGACTCTGTTGTTAAACATGAATTCCTAAGATGATACAGTCAAGTTGTATGAAAATTAATTAGAAGTCACACTGAAGTGGGTTAAGAAGTACATGTTAGAAACAGATCATAGAAAGCCAGAGACAGAGGTGATCAGAGACAGCACTTTAACCTGATCTATTTCATAAAACAACTGACAAGAGTAACAGCAGAATGGAAAAGAAAGTGAAGAAAATCATTAGAAAGCTTCTGTAAGAGTCCATAGGACTCTATCACTCTCGCTCTCGGGTCCCTGTGCCAGAGATGCAGGAGCCTTCCCATTGTACCCTTGCTCACTAGTTTGTGCTGCTGCAGGCACCCATTCTACCACCACCCTTTGCAGACATGGCCACCAGGACCTCCTCCTCTTACCACTGGATATTCAGTGGCTCTGACACTGTGAGCCAGCCAAGCTCCAATCACAGCTATGTAACCACATCTACCCACACCTACAGCCTTACCAGTGCACTGTGCCTCAGCACCAGGCGTAGTCTCTATGCCTCGTCCCCTGGGCAGCATGTATACCATGCACTACTTGGCCAGGTGCTTGTGGAACAGTATGCCCGTGTGCAGTGGCTGCAGGATCCTGTGAACTTCTCGATGGCCAACAATGTCAATTGTGAGTTCAAGAACACCCACACCAACAAGAAAGTAGAGCTGCAGGAACTCAATGACCACTTTGCCAACTACACTAACAAGGTGGGTTTTCTGGAGCAACAAAACAAGATTCTGCTGGCCAAGCTCGAGCAGCTCAAGGGCCAGGGCAAGTTGCATTTGGCTGATCTCTACAAAGAGGAGATGTGAGATGAAAGATGTGAGAGCTGTGTTGGCAGGTGGATCAGCTCACCAAGGCCCGCGACAACCTGGCTGAAGTCATCATGTGGCTCCAGGAGAAGTTACAGGAGGAAATGCTTCAGAGAGAGGAAGCCGAGAGCAGCCTGTAATCTTTCAGACAAGATGCTGACGATTCTTCTTTGGCACATCTTGACCTTGAGCAGAAAGTAGAATCCTTACAAAAAGAGACTGCCTTTCTGAAGAAACTGCACAATGAAGAAATCCAGGAGCTACAGGCTCAGATTCAAAAACACCATGTCCAACTATCACATGATTCACAAAAAAAACATCAAAAAAATAAAAAAGAACACCATGTCCAAATTGATACAGATGTTTCCAAACCTGACCTCACGGCTGCCCTGCCTGACCTATGTCAGCAGTATGAAAATGTGGCTGCCAAGAACTTTCAGGAGGCTGAAAAATGGTACAAGTCTAAGTTTGCTGATCTCTCTGAGGCTGCTAACCAGAAAAAATGATGCCTTGTGCCAGGCAAAGCAGGAGTCTAATAGGTATGAGAGACAGGTCCAGTCCCTCACCTATGAAGAGGATGCTCTTGAACTAATGAATCTCTGGACCACCAGATGTGTGAACTAGAAGAGAATTTTGCTGTTGAAGCTGCTAACTACCAAGACACTACAGGCCATCTGCAGGATGAGATTCAGACCATGAAAGAAGAAATGGCTCGTAATCTTAGATAATACTAAGACCTATTAAGGAGCTCTGGTAGCGTAGTGGTTATGAATCGGGCTGCTAACCTCAGGGTCAGCAGTTTGAAACTACCAACTGTTCCGCGGGAGAAAGATGAGGCTTTCTGCTCCCATAAAGATTTATAGCCTTAGAAACACTGTACAGGGTCGCTATGAGTCGGAACTGACTCCACGGCAAATAACAACAACAACATATTGAATATTAAGATGGTCCTTGACATTGAGATTGCTACCTACAGGAAGCTGCTGGAAGACGATGACAGATTTCTCTGACTCTTCCAAGCTTTTCCTCCCTGAATCTAAGGGAAACCACTCTGGATTCTCTGCCTGTGGTTGACACCCACTCAAAAAAACACTCCTGGATTAAGACTGTTGAAACTAGAGATTGACAGGTTATATCAATGAAACCTCTCAGCATCATGATGATCTTGAGTGAAAATTGCAACCACTTGGTGTGGCAATATATTGCCAGCAAAAACAAAACGAGATCCCTATCTTAAAGAAACAGCTTTCAAGTGCCGAAATCTGCAGTTTTTTTCAGGAGCGCAGGATAGATTTGGAATAGGAATAAGCTCTAGTTTATAAGAATCAACACTCCCAAAAGAGTTAGAAAAAGTTTACAACATAATCTAGTTTATGAAGAAGTCTTGTGCTAGAATACCTTTTTAAAAGTATTTCTGACTACCATTAAAACTGCTTTTTTTCCAGCAAGTATTTGACCAACTTGTTTCTGCTTCAATAAACTTTTTGGGCGAGAAAAGATAAAATAATAGAAATGAAAAAGTTGTTACCTTGCTGTTGGAGGAATCTGAAGGAGATGACATTTTTTCTGGGCTCTTAGCTTTTTCTGCTTTCCCAGGTTTCTCTGTAGACTCTTTATTGTGGTTTGAAGATTTTTGAGATTTATCAAAAATATCAATTCCCAAGATCTGAGCCACTTTGTCCAGTTCAGACTGCTTCTTTTCTGCCTCTTCTGCCTCTTGTTGTAATTCTGTAATGTCCTTCATAATGTTATCCTGAAGCCGACTCACCTCCACCAAGAGTGGGTCTTTGTGACCATCCTTTTCCCTTCGTTTCTTGCGCAGCATTTCTCCTGAGTAGTCAATTGTCAATAGAAAGCAACACAGGGAAAGAAAATTAGGACATGAATCATTTTTCAATAGCCAGCAGTAATCTATCAGGACTTTATGGCTATAAAGTCTTTTCCTACAAAAGTTTCTAAAAACAAGAGGATCGCTCATTCCACATGGTCATTTTAGGTAAAGCTTCAATGGAGGTAAAGGCTAAATGATAACACTATTTTTTGTGTAGGGATTATTAGACAAGGATCTACAGACAGGCTTCCAGGGATCTTGTTGTTGTTGTTGATATGTAACTTCGAGTTGGTTCTGACTCATAGCAACCTGCATAGGGTTTCTGAGCAGCTGGTGGAGATTCAAAATGCTTACCTGCAGCTAACAGCCCAAAGTGTAACCCACTATGACACTGTTGTTGTTAAGTGCCATCGAGTTGGTTCCAACCCATAACAACCCTGTACAGGGTTTCCGAGGCTGTAGACACTAGGGCTCTACAAATTCCCAAAACAGTATATGCAAGTTTGTGTTGTGCATGTGCAAAAGTTTAAAGGCGATAGAGATAGATACTGTTACATACACAAACCTGCAACATTTTACAAGTAGATACATAGAGAGATACATAGGTAGATTGGGTATGGGAGGGTTTGACATGGCTATTTACCCTTGTTGCAAACACTCCCTATGAATGTGGTGGAGCATCCAGGCAGCAAAATGACAAAAATTTTTAGACATCACCAAACACCTTGAGGTAAAGAGAGTTGCTGGGCCTGGGGACTCAGGACCATAGTCTCAGGGGACTCCATAGTCAACTGGTATAACACAGTCCCCAAAGACAATGTTCTACATCTTGCCTTGGTGAGTAGTGACTGTGAGAAACGTTGTCTATACTGACAAACGTTCAAGTAATCCATCTGTACTCATTTTAGCGAGCGTGAGGTTTTCTTTATTCAATTTTGCAAAATCGGGCGCCCAGCCCTGTAGACACATGGCCCTCCACAAAAGTTTTTTCTTGTCCCCCCAGAAGTCCCTCCCCCAGTTCCAGTTCTCCATATACAATTCTATGAGTAGTCATCCTATTTTCCCTCCCCTCAAACAAGCCAAAATGGCTTGCCCAAGGTCTTAATGGCTGTATTTTTATTTAAATTTCTTAGCCCAAAATAGCCTGCTTAAATCAACAATATGTCTGCCAGGTCTTACAATCTCATGAATTCCTGAAGATGGACCACAAGAGGTTTTTCTCACATGACTGGGATCTTAAAAAGCTCAGAAGCAGCCATCTAAGGTGCAACTAGTGGTCTCGCCATATGTGGAGTAAAGAAGAGTGATGAAAACTGAAGATGCTTGGAATCAATTAGTCGTATGAACCAACATGTGAACATCAGTCTCCATGGCTCTGGGAACAGAACTACATGGTGCCCAGCTACCACTACCCATTACTCTGAAAGGGATTACATTAGAAGGTCCCAGAGAGATGTGAAAAATGTGGAACAAAACTCAAAATTATAAGAAAGATGAGGCTTGTTAGTCAGAAATAGACTGGAGGAACCTGAGGCTATAGCCCTCAACCATCCTTCATGTCTGGAACAGAAGTTGCCATCATGGTCCAATCTTCAGCCAAGCAATAGGCATACAGTAGGGACAGTTAACACTAGTAAGGTATGCTCACCATGGAATGGATAACCATTCAATATCAAAATGATAACATTTACCTAGAACAAAGTTGAACAGGGATGGGAAGGAGTGTGGAATAGAAAAAGGAACCACAAGGAGGAAGTGGGATAACTGTTGTTGCATGGAGGGGGATTGCAATCACTGAGATGGAACAAAACGTGATTTGTTGGATGTAAAACTGATGATCTGTAAGCAGTTAGAAAGCACAAATGTGGGACAACACGTGCCATGCATACCACATGAGATCTCCAAACAAAAACAAACCTGCTGCTGTCAAGTAGACACTGACTCATAGTGACCCTGTAAGTAAGAGAAGATTTGCTCTATAGGGTTTCCAAGGCTGTAAATCTTTATGGAAGCAGACTGCTTCGTCTTTCTCCATATAAGTGGCTTTCTCCATATGATGTGTTCAAACTGCCAACCTCTGAGTTAGCAGCCCAACAATTAACCCACTGTGCCACCAGGTCCCCTTCATGAAAGCTCCAAGGAACCAAGCAACAAAAAACTAAAAAGAAACAAGGACCTTCCTTCAGAACCAACAGAGAGAGAAAGGCTTCCCCTAGTGCTGGTATTCTGAATTTGAGCTTCTAGCCTCCTTAACTGTGAGGCATTGTAGGATCAGCACTGGACTGCAAACCACAAGGTTGATAGTTCAAATCCATCAGCTGCTCCTTGGAAACCCTATACAGAGTCACTATGAGTCAGAACCAATTGATGGCACATAACAACAACAAACTGAGAAAATACATTTCTGTTGTTCTGCCTGGCTATCATTACTAAACATTTTGATGAAAGATTCTACAGAAAAATCCTGATCAAAAGGAGAGAAAATTCAGAACAAAATTTCTAATTCTCATATAACCCAGACTTTCTAGAGCCATGAAGGATGCATAAACCCTACAAACTATTGCCCTGAATAATCTTTAAACCTTCAACCAAAAATATCCCCTGAAATCTTCTTAAAACCACACAATAGTTTAGTTTAGCTAGCAAAGAATGTCTGTCTGGAGCATTGAGCTCTTTTATAATCTATAAATCTATTGGTATGTTATCAAATGGATAACAGCAACTTGAAAGATCCAATAGGAACCTTAGGGGGCAATGAGCTCATGTTAATGAAGAAGGATCAACTAAGAACAGAAGGGTGAGAATGTAGTCAATGTCACTGAATTTTACATGCAAAATCTGCTGAATTGATGTATGTTCTGCTGTGTATACTCTCAGTAACAACAAGAATAGTTTTAAAATAGAAATTTTAAACGTTGGTATTTCATGAAAATGTCATGAAACAGAGACTAATGACTGGTTTAGATTTAAAGAGACTAAAAGAACATAACAATTGAATTTATCACATAATCTTGGATTTTCTTTTGCTATAAAGGTCATACTGGGACAACTGGTGAAATATAAATTGGTTCTGTAGGTTAGATAACAGGAACATTTTGGTTGTGTAAAAGAATTCCTTGTTAAGAAATACTGAGGTATTTCTGAGTAAAAGAGCATATTATCTATAAACTACTCTTCAACAATTCAGAAAAAATTATATACACATATATATTGCGAGAAAAAGGCTAGAGTAAATGCAGTAAAATAATAAATCTGAGAGAAGGGTATCTGAGGACTATTTGCATTATTATTGCAACTTTTCTGCCAGGCTATGTCAAATTTTGTTTTCACTGAACCAGTATGAGAATCCCAAAAGCTTTCTACTTAGGTCTCCTGCTCAAGTTATTACAAAAAGCCAATCATGCAAAGGACTGTCTGATACCTTGTTGTTTATGAAGCCGCTCCAGTTCAGTTCTGAGATAGTACATCTTCTTCTGGCGTGCTTCCTGGTTACTCTTCAGCTTTTCCCTCTCTTCAATAACCTGCAAAGCACAAAGTTTAAGAGAATCTTTTGCTCTCCATCATCCTTCCTTTTTTAGTGTTCTCTCCTATAAGCTCTCATGCTAGATAATATTTGAATACAAAGACTCAAAGGCCTACTACTCCCAGAGGTACTGCCGATAGTCAAAGTGGTATTTCATTCCAAAACAAATTCCAGAATAGTATTCTTCTTTTCAAAATTGTGTTGCCTAGAGATTATTATTCTTACACAGGATGTGCTATACTAATAATGTCAACCTAACGCCACTAACAATAACTTATATACTGGTTTTGAGTCATCTATCTAAGAAAACCATCAAGAAGAGAATGTGTTATGGAGCAGGTACTGTGTTAGCTGCATTATATGTTAACATTTTATTCAATCTTCAAGACATTACCTCTATTTTACAATAATAACACTGAAGTTGTGAAGGATTTCTTTTATCTTACCCAAGGCCATAAAGTCTGCGAAAGAAGATTAAAAATCTAGCGATCTGCTTTATTACTTACATCTGAAGGGAAAAACAAATACAGTTTGTGTATAACAGGCTAAGGAGCTCTGGTGGTGCTTTGGACTTGGCGTTGGGCTGCTAACTGCAAAGTCAACTGTTTAAACCCACCAGCCAAAAGATGAGGCTGTCTGATCCTGTAAAGATTCAGTCTTGGAAACTCTATATAGGGTCTCTTTTGAGCTGAGATTGACTTGATGGCAGTGGGTTTGGTTTTTATCTTAACAGGTTAGTGTGAAGTACCTGTATATCAGTCTTGATTCAAGCACTAGGCTTTTTAGAGAGATTGTAAAAGCCAAGAGCACAGTCTTAACTAAAAACTCAAGTTCAGAGTATCCTAGGGCAATGAAAAATTAAGAGAAAGGTTTTTTTCTCTTTCCTTCCTAAAAACTAGCTAAATTTTTTTAAACTAGTAAGAAGTGAGACTCAAGGTCCTCCAATTTTCCCTTTTTTCTCCTTAGGTCTGTATTATTTTATGAGTAAACAAATTTATACACATTACATTTTTATGTACCAAAGCAAAGTAAGGAGTTCTCATGTGGCACTGTAGGATAAGCACTGTACCGCAAGATTCAAACTCACCAGTTGCTCCTAAAGAAACACTACTACAGGGTCATTATGAGTTGAAAATGACTTGACAGTGCTTAGCAACAACAAAGCAAAGTAAGCTATTTATTAAGGACCTTTAGAATTAAGAACATGTATTAAATTTTTCTACTCCAAATTAATCTATTCTGTATTCCCCATCTCTACATAATTTTTATCTACTGCTTTAAAACACCAAGAATTATTACATCTGTAGCCCAGCCTCTGCTCCCTTATTCTGGTGTGGGAAATCCAATTAAATCAAATAGTATAAAAACTGCCTTTTTTGAAAAGTATCATAAATAGATGCTGATAAACCAGAAGACGCAAAGCTTACTTATTTCTTGGTTGGTTTTAATTACTAAGTAACAATTTGTATTAGCTTTTAATCACATATTTACTACAGGGGAAGGACTTAAAACAGTAAGTTCACTGATGCTCTTTCACACAACGCAATTTTGGTTCTTCATCCTGTTATTAAATTGAAGCCCTCAAGGTTCCCAGTTCCTACCCATAATGCTAAGGTAGTAGTGGTGGTGTGCAGTCAAGTATCGGTTTCGACTCATAGCAACCCTGTATAGAGTTTCTGAGGCTTTATGGAAACACAAAGCCTCATCTTTTGCCCTCAGAATGGCCGAAAGATTCAAACTGTTGACCTCATGGTTAGCAGCTCAATTCATAACTCACCAGGACTCCTTACCCCCAATGCTATAAGGTCATCAATAAGGTTAGAGAAAGAATCTTTTCTCAAAAAATGTCTTGCAATCACTGTGGGACCTTAGGCCATCTTTCAGTTGTTTTTTGTGAAACTGTGTGAAAAAAACAGATGAGTTATGTACATCTACTTAGTGCACTGAGAGCAGCCTCCAAAAGACTTTTAAGTGAACAGGCCTAATGAATATTCAGCCCTCTCTCAAAGATAAAAACAAAGCTATATTAAAACAGCAAGTGTAAGCACAGGATACCCAAGGCTAATACTCACCTTCTGCTTCTGGGAAGCACGATTTTTCTCATCAGAGATCTTCTCAGGATTATATCTTATGAGTGAAGGGATGGGCACCTGGACAGGCACTTGAGCAGAAGGAACTGAACTGAGAGTTGATTCTTCCTGTTTGGGTTCATCAGCAGTTACCGTGGGAATCACACGGAGATTAGGACGGCTACGAGTAGCTTGTTTGGTAACTGGCATCACCCTATGTGATTCAGCTAGAGGGTGTTTTGATGGTTGAGAGGTGGGGTACATGGGCCATCTTGATGCTGCATAAGCCATGTAGTGCCTATAGGCATCAAAGGAGGTAGGGGGAATGGCAGGTCCCTGGTAGTTTGGAGGTATCCGAGCTGCAGCAAACTGAGGGGACCTTGGCATATGAAACTGAGATAAAGAAGCAGGGTGTGGAAGTCTAATAGGGACAGATGGGGCTGGCTGCAGCATGCATCTGACTGCAATGGATGACTGAAACCCCCTACGAATCACCTCTGGTCCTGGAACCTGGCCTATTAAATGGTCAGACTTTAAGAAAGGGGTGCTATTTTTTGTAAGCAGATAAGGGGAGGCTGGGTGTGGATGGGAAACCTCTGGAGAGTGGGTAATGTTATTGTGTGCCTCCCTGTTCTCTAGTTTGTGGTGATCTGAGGAGCGCCGATCAGCTGAGAACTGGTGGTCAACTGAGGAATTACGGTCAACTGAGGAACGATGGTCAACTGAAGAACCACGATCCGAAGAAAAGCGACGGTCAACTGAAGAATGGAGGTCAGCTGAGGAACGTGATGGCTTCTTGCCATGAAGTCGTTCCTGGGTGCGCACAGCCAGCTTACTTATCTCTGTTACCCCAATATCCAGTCCTATGGTCTTGAGCAAGTCATGAATCTTGGTAAATTCTGGACTGGTCTCTTCTAGGGATTCTCGCTTTACAGTTTGACCTGACAAGGGAAGGGAGCTTGCCTTCTGCCTCATAAATTCACTCTCAGAGCCCCCAAGTGGCTTTTGTGGGGATTCTGCCTTTAAGTTCTCCTCTTCATCGCCATAGAGAAATTTCTCCTCATCTTCAATATCAGGGAAGCTATGTTGCCTTTTTTCCTGTGTACTGGTAGAATCTGCTAACATGCTGAGAATACGGGAAAAACCACTGCCATCCTGGCTAGCCCTCTCATGGGGCAGCAAGAAGTCTGTGTGTCGCTCAGGTGCCTCAGTCTTTGTATCCAATTTCTCCTTGTGGTACAGAAAACTTCCAAACTTTTCTCTGAGAGGACTGTTGTCTTTGGGCATCTCAGGGAGGGAGCCCCATTGGTAGAGACTGTCCTGAGGCTCCTTCAAGGCAGTCCCTATCATAGCCTCCTTGGTGGCCTCAATTTCTGAGGCAAAGGAAGACATAGCCCCACTTAGTGGAAGAGATGGATGTCCAGAGTAGAGTGTGTGATCCTGGCAGGAGCTGGTACTGCTGGAGAATCTTTCAAGCTGTAAAGACAAACATTACAGATTTATTCCCTATGCAGAATTTCAAAAAACAAATCATTGAGAAGTGAGTCTTGATATGGTGCTATGGGATAAAGCACTAGACGGCAAGGTCAGTTTGAACCAAAAAATCAGCAGTTCAAACTCACCAGGTGCTCCTTGGAAACCCTATACAGGGTAGCTGTGAGTTGGATCCAATTCTAAGGCACTTAACAACCGCCACTGAGACAAATACATTTGTTCTTCCTGAATTAATAGGAACGAGATAAGTATGAATGAAAGAGAGGAAGAGTACGCTTAGCTAAGCTCAAGATATGGATCCCATCTCTCCAGCTGTCTCTGCTATAGCAAGTAAAAAATAGGAAATGAGGCAGATTGGAATAAATCTTCACCTTTGCCCATTTGTTATAGTCTTTATCAAGAAATCTGAACTGAAAAGGACTTCAGGGATCTTTAGCTTATTGATTTTTTTCTGTGGCTCTCCAATAGAAAAAACATATACAAGTGGGATTACCTTGCTTAAGATTAGGACAATGAAAACGCTGAAATTGTTCTGCCTCTTCCTTGCTTCCCTAATTGTTCTTAGGGATTTCTCTAAGAAATTTTAGCTCCTAAGAGCACAAATGATGTGTCCTCCTACCTTATCTTTTCAGGATTTAGGAAAAAATATCAAAGTCCAGAATGATGAGATGACTTGTCTAAAAAATATCAGATAGCAAACTAGTGTCAGAGGTGGGTCCAGAATCCGAATGACCTAATTTCTGGTCTCGAGTCCTAACACTCTAAAAAGAGATGAGGAAATTCAGATCACCTCTTCCTTTTCCTTCCTAAACTTCATTTCCAAGAAACTCATATTCACAGATCCCTATACAGGGCTATCCAGTTTAGGGAAAAAATTTATAGTAAGCACTATCCAAAATAGATGTTTAGAAAACCTATTTATGGCAACAGAAGCCCTCTACTGATTTATTATGAGATCTATAGCTTCCTTTGAGGAATCTTGGAAGGTACTGCTCACAGGTATGACAATGTTCATCCACTAAACATTACTATGATGGTATTAGGGACATAGTCTCTAGGAAAGCAACCAGGCTTTAAGGTTTCTGGAGGACTATCAAGAGACCCAAGAAGAAATGCTACAGAGACCTGAATGGAAGACTCCATGTCCACCTCAATCCGTTTCTTCAAAATAGACTTCTTGGGCATCACAGATACTTCCTCAGGCCGATGCAAAGAATATCCTGGCTCTGATGCTGGTAGTACACCAGACAATCCAGGAATGGGGCAGCTAGTGCCACCACCATCAACTCCCACCAAATCCTGACTCAAGCTTCTATTTCGTTCCTCCTCTTCCTCTCGCTTTCGCCTAGCAAGGTCCAGTTCCCGAAATTCTGGATCTAGAAACCTAGGGCTTGGGCTTCGTCTACGTTGTCGATAGTTGCGGGTCCCTGATGGTAAACTCAGGTGAGTTCCTCCCATGCTGTGTATCTTCTGTGTGTCATCATAACGGGGCCGTTTGGACTCCTGGCTCCTTTCCTCAGATTGTATGGTGTAGGAACCTTTGAATTTGTCTCTATTCTGTTCTGTATTGTGCAACAGTTCATCATGACAACTGACATGGGGACTATAATCAGATCGATGCGGGAAAGTTTCTCTTGTTCGGTAGTCCTCATCAAGTTGTCCCAAGAAGGAACTCAGAGACTCCTCTTCCCGGGAAACATATCGCTCAATACCTCGAGAACACTGGGAGCTTCGAGTGAAGACAGAATCATCAGTTAGGTCATCCCTGGAAAAAGAGACAAGCATCATTGGATATAATGGACTTGGAAAGACATTTGGCAAAGGGGCTTTTTTTTTTGCTTAGAGCAAAAGACAGTTATCATGAAGACCAAGAACAAATCTATGTATTTCCATGGGACATTTCCTCTTCCTTTCTCCAGGGTCACAAGCTTCAGTTTCTAACCAAGAGAAAATATCACCAATCTACACAGAGATCTTGGGAGTCCTGGTGTGGTGCTATAAGCACTGGACCAAAAGGTTGGTTTGAAATATAAGGTCGGCAGTGCAAACTCATCAGATGCTCCTCGGAAATCCTATACAAGGTTCACTATGAGTCAGAACCAACTTAACCACACAACAGAGCTCTTACAACAATTCTTCTTTGACTGGACTTTGAGGATGCAAAATATCATGATAAAGTTGGGGGAAATGTGAAACCACCACTAACAAACTACACAATTGGCACTTACACAATTCCTCATTACACCTTGCTTCTTGCTAATCAAAGCCTGGGCCAGTTAGCAGCATCAATATTATTTGGAACTTTTAAGTAATACAGATTCACCCCAGACCTACTAAACCAGAATCTACATGTCATAAGGTGGATTGTATGGACTTTAAAATTTGAGAAGCACTGGTCTAGATCAGTGGTTTTCAAGTTGAGTTCCACAGAGATCCTTCAAAGTGCTCAGAGGAGCTGGTTCAAGGAAGGTGATGGGAAAGCAGACCATGCAAAACTCTGGACTTTCTACCCCATTTAAATCGTATGTAAGGATTTACACCCTCGGAAACCCTGTACAGGGTCGCTATGGGTCGGAACCGACTCGATGGCACTTACCAACAACAACTGCAAACTTATTTTGCTTAAATATTAAAGTCCTATACAATACTTCATTTGGAAAATGTGTTTTGATGTAGGTGAAAAATAAAAATTCTTTAAACTACTGAGTTAACAACTGGCATGGTTTTCTCCTAAGTTTTTAGAAGATTTTTCAATATTTTGTTTTGCTGGATCACATAAGTCACAAAATTCTCCCAGCTTGTTCTGTCACACCCCCATCCTACCCCACCTCCCCACAACCACCTTTCTTGCCTTGCCCAGATACTCATATAATGTTACACCCAAGAAAGAATAAGGGATGGTTTGGCTCACTATTTTTATGTCATAGAAGTAAAAATGTCTTGGATCTTTGTGGCTTGGAGATAAAAATACAGGATGGGGCATCTGTCCTCTCAGCTCAGGACTCTAAGCCACACACAAAAGTCCTCATGTCTTTGTGTACTATGTCCACAGAGTTCCTATGGCTCCAAAAGAGTTCCTGATTTAAATTATAAATGGAAATAAAGTTCCTCTAGCACTTAAAAACATAGCTTTCAAATAATCTGAATAAAATTTAAAGTGCTTACATGTGATTCACATTCCAGAGTGATAATTCTCATCCAGAGGACAGTAAGTACTAGTGTCTTCTTCTAGTACTTAACTTTTGCTTTCTGTGAATTTCTAGACATGATTTTGTTTCTGCATACTTTCTTTCCTATCTCTAGAGTATAGAGTTAACAGACATCAAAAATCACCTTTATTACTCACCAGCCGTTTTAGATCTGGGCAATAGTATAAACAACTCTAGGAAAAGCTATGTGGCACTATGGGATAAGCACTGGACTGCTAATTGCAAGGTCAGGGGTTCAAACTAACCAGCCACTCCTTGGAAAACCTATACAGAATTGCTACATGTCAAAACTGACTTAATAGCAAACAACAACATCAAAGACAAACTTATCACCTATCATGGACTGATTTGTGTTCCTCCAAAATATGTGTCAGCTTGGCTGGGACATGATTCTCAGTGGTTTAGCAGTTATATAATGATGTAATGTGACAGTTATGTAATGATTTCCCATGATGTGATCTGCTATGATAAGCCCTTAATCCCATCATAGTCCTGATTCAATTTAAGGGGAGTCTCCTGAGTTGTGGCCTGCAACACCTTTTACTTACAAAAGATAAAAGAAAAGTGAGGAGACATGAGAGGGACCTACTACCACCAAGAAAAATGAACAGGAAGTGGAGTGCATTCTTTGGACCTGGAGTCCCTGCATTATGAAGCTCCCTTTGTTCTTAAGTGCTGTAGAGTCGGTTCAGATTCATAGTGACCCTATATATGGTTTCTGAGGAATGGTTGGGAAGTCTGAACTACCAACCTTGCAGTCAGCAGTCCCAGTGTTTACTCCTAGATCCAGGGAAAGATTAATGCCATGACACAAGGGGATCTCCATGGAATGCTGGGCCTACAGATACTCAAAGGAGACCAGATATTTTCTCTAGAGCTGGCGCTCTGAATTTAGACTTCTAATTTTCTAAACTGTGAGAGAATACATTTCTGTTCATTCAAGCCATTCACTTGTGACATTTGTTACCACAGCACTAGATAACTAAGAAAGTTCCTCTGCAAAAAGTGCCACCTTTGGGAACCCATCTCCTCCCCAAGAGTCTGGAGGATCTTGAGGTCTCAATAGTATGAAATAGAATCTGAAATAAAATGCAACTGCAGAATGCATAGAGACAAAAGTAGATTAATGGTTACTAGGGGCTGAGGGAGGGGAAAGTGGGGACTGTACTGCTTAATGAATACTAAGTTTCTATTTCAGGTGATGAAAAAGTTTTCGAAATCAATAGCAGTGATAGTTGCACAACATTTGACTGAAACCAATATCACTGAGTTGTATACTTTAAAGAACGAAAACAGCAATTTTTTGGTTATATACACTGTACTGGAGTCCTCGTGTGGCGTTGTGGGTTAATGCGCCAGACTGCAAAGCTGTTTGAACTGCAAGGTTGGCGGTTCAAGCTCACCAGCTGCTCCTTGGAACCCTATACAGGGTTGCTATGGGTTGGAACCTACTCGATGGCACTTCACAACATAAACAGCACCACTGTTTTTTTAAAAAATTATTACAATGGACAGTTTGATTCTGCAAGTCTGTTAGCTATGAATAGTTTCCACACTTCTTACTAGGGAGGAATGTCCATGAGTTGAGTCACTGTATTGCTGATACACCATCCACCACATAAAATGTCTGATCACATCAGTATTGGCGAAAACATGGACCCCACCGGTGGTGGCAAGTTCATCTACACTCCCATCTTCAGGTATAGGTATTACATGTCTTTACATGTCACCACTAAATGATATACTAGTTCAGGATCTAGTCTAGCATTAAATATGACGGTGGTGGTGATGTGTCATGCAGTTGGTACCAACTCACAGAGATCCTAGAAAGGGTTTCTGAGGCTGTAAATCTTTCCAGGAGCAGAAAGTCTCATCTTTGTCCCGCAGAACAGCTGGTAGTTTCAAACTAATGACCTTGAGGTTAGCTGCCGGATTCGCAACTACTAAGCTACCAGAGTTCCTGCACTGCTTATCAAGAACCTGAAAGTGAGACAGTTCTCGGAAAGCCTCAGTTCCAGACTTGCAATCTACAGCAAAAGAAGGCAAAAATAAAACAGAAAAACAATGAAAGGTGAGAAAGAGTTAAAAGAGATAAAGGCAAAAATCAGGCTGCTCCAAGAAACTCACGTCTTCCTTCTTCAACACTCCAAAAGGTGAAAAGAGAACTAGCAGCAGTAAGAGGGAGCCCTAAAAAGAACCCCTATTTTATGCAGCCATAAGAAATAATTCCCTAAAAAACACTCAGCACTTAACATAAGGGTACACAAGGGCTCACTGCATTTAAAATTTTCCATTAAAATAAGTTTAACATACATCCACATAAACGCATGCACACAAATGTTCACAGCAGCTTTATTAAAAATAGTAAGTAGAAATAACCCAAATAAATAGCCATCCCTGAGGGATGGATAAACAAAATATCTAGACAAAAAAAACCCTAAAAATATTATGAGCAATGAAAAGGAATGAGGGAATTATGATAAATGCTGCAACTTAGATGAACCTTGAAAACACTATGCTAAGTGAAGGAAATTAATCATAAAGGCTTATATGAGAATGAGTCAAAAATAATCTGCACTCTGGCTAGAGCATTTAAATTAGCTTTTAGAAAAGACAAACACATCATTTTTCCACATAATATCCTTGCTTTTCAATACACTTTGTCCATCTGTCAACAAGCTTTCATATGCCCTTATTAAAAGACGTTTTAGGATAAGCTGTGAGCCACAAATGCACCACCACTGCCATCACTTCTTCATCAGAGGTGAATCTTTGTCCTCAAAGGGTTGCTTTCAGGGGACCAAACAGGTGAAAGTCCAATGAAGCAAAATGAGGACTATAGGGAGGATGCTTTAACGCCTCAAAACTAAGTTTTTGCAGAGTGGCAACAGTGTGAGAAGAGGTATTCAGATGTGGATTGTCATGCAAGATCACAACACCCTAGGATAGCAGCCCTCAGCATTTAATGCCAAATTTAGGCTTTAACAATTCAGTGAGCATCTCACTGTAGCAGGCACTGTTGATTTTTGAACCTTTTTCCTGATAGTGTTCCAATACTGGCCCTTGAGAGTCCTAGGAAACTGTAAGCATCAATTTTCCAGCTAATGGTTTAACTTTTGAACTTTCTCTTGGTAGGCGATTGAGGATGTTTCCATTCCATACTCTGCCATTTACGCTCTGACTCATAGTAACAAATAAATCCATGTCTCATGGCCAGTAATGATTTTTTTAAAGATACTTTACCTCCGAGTGTCAGTCCAAATTTTGCTTGCAGATGTCCAAACACTTCTGTTTATGCTTTTCATGAGTTGTTTCAGTACCCATCTCACACAAACTTTTCAAAACTCAAGTATGTCGTGGATTATTTCATAGGCAGAGCCACGGTTGATATGCAAATGATTTGCCACATAATCCACTGTCACTCGCCTATTTGACAGTATTATTTCATGTGCATGTTCTATATTGTCATCAGCCATGGATGTGGATGATTTTTGGCTCACAACATATTGCTTTTATCCCATTTATGTGAAATATCCAGAATAGGCATATCTTTGAAAACAAAGCAGATAGGGGGTTGTCTAGGGATGGGGGCATAAGGAGAATGACAGATGATGACTAAGAATGTGAGGTTTCTTTTTGGAATAATGAAAATGTTCTAAAATTGGTTATAAAAGAGGCTTAAAAAATTTGTGGAAAAATTCTATTATCTTTAGTTTCCTTTTTACATGAACCTTTTAAAGCCTCCCCCCCGCCCCTTGTAGTGGTGGATTCACAACTTTGTGAAATACTAAGTCACAGAGCTGTACAAGTTAATAGATGAGTTGTACGGTATGTGAATTCTATCTTAGTAAAAGTGCTTTGAAAAAAAAAAGTATACCTAAGTCACTGAACTATACACTTCAATGGATGAGTTGCATGGTATGTGAATCTCAGTAAAACTATTAAAAAAAAAAAAATTCCTATATGATAAAGGTGTTCTAGTGTGGAGCTGCAGGATAATGCAATGGACCGCAAGGTCAGTTTGAACCGCAAGACCGGCGCTTCAAATCCACCAGCCGCTCCTCAGAAACACTAGACAGGGCCACTACAAGTCAGAACTGACTAGACAGCATTTAATAACAGTAGACAGCATTTAATAACAGTAACAACAGATGATAAAAGGATTTGCTAATTCTCTAAAGAGTTCTTAGAAAGCTTTGTTTTCTTTTGCCCTTTCACTAAGGAAATCATAGGCATAAAAATTTAAAAAGTGAAAAATCCTACTGACTTCAATCTATGTTAGCGACAAAGAGGAGTTAGAAAATCAGAATTCCATGTATGGTACATATGGTGCGCAAAATTTTTTCATAATCTTAAGTGTTTACAAGTATCTTAGACTTTCTCACACAACATGTTCCTGCTACCTTTTCAGAATAAGTTAGACACCTGCCAAGCTGAGGACAGACAACCTGTAACTCAAACCTGATTAACATATTTAACAAGGAAGGGAAAAAATATCAGGGACTGGGGAAATCAAGTATCTATATGCAAAAGATAATAGCCTATTTAATTGACTGAAGACTGGACTCGCTGTCAGGAGACAACTGAGTATGCCAAGAGTTCTGGGGACTGGTTTCAGTGGACAGTAATTATCCATACAAACCATACTAAGAGGAAAGGAACACAGATGTGCAGGGAGCAAAAAGCATAAAGAATGACCTTGTACTTCCTTCCAGAACCTTAACGTCACTTTCTCTAACACATAACTATAGGAAAGATTACTGCTCCAAACTCACTAAGAAAAAAATATTAATTTTCATAACTTTATAATAGACCATTTACTATCTGAAGCACACATGCTTAACAGCTTACACAAAGATGAGGTGACACCATAAGTCGAAAACAAGAGGAAATGCTAGTTACTTTAAAACCTCAGCAAGGAAACCATGTACCACCTACCCAGAATGCCTACTCAGTCATCTCCCAAAATAGAAGCAACCAGAAGGGCAAGGGCTGTTGCCTCAAATAAGTGATATAGTTGCATATCCTGAAGTCCTATTTTCAGATACTTCAGTATTACATGACATAAGATTGTCTTACCTCTTTACTGTATCCACAGCCACTGGAGCTTTGAAGTAAATATTATCTAAGCGCAGCACTGGTCCTCAGACTTCCTTCCCACCTGTCCCCTACCTGTGTGCCTATGCTTTGTACACCACAGTCTGTCTGAAAAAACTTTACAGAGAATTCACTGCTGCTACTAATCATTTATGAAAATTCCCAGTGTGCTGGATAGATAATAAGAGACAGAGTCTCATCTTTCAGAAAGTGTTTACCTCCTCTCCCATTATCATATTTTGAATACTATGAAGTAAAAAAAAAAAAAAAAAAACCTAATGTGATTATTAACTTCTCATACATAATTAAGTTCCTATTACTTAAGGTCTACATTTAATACTGTATGGAGTGCATTTGCCTCTCCGCAACAATCAATAGTTGTAAAGTAATAATTGAATTTACACATTTTAAAGATTTCTAACTTCCTATTAATGCCTTATATATTTAGCAAACATATTAAACATACATTTATATAAACCCTTTCTGAATCTATATTTTAGTTTAAACATGTTGAAATCATTAGAAAACAATTTACTACCCTGTCCTTTTCAGAAGGAACTAGTAGTTCCAGTATTTCAGAACTCATATAACTTCACCTTTTTTTCATTTAGGCTCCTCAGAAACTCTATATAGGATCAGAGTCAGAACCAACTAAACAGAACTTAACAACAACAATAATGTCCTCTCAGTCACCTTCTTTCCAGCTGGTTCAGGTGTTTACTTAAGTTAGCAACAGAATCCACATCAATCAACCCTTTCCACTTAGAAAACCTTTTCCACTGTTGTACTTTATACTAGGGCGCATGATCATAGGACATTAACTTCTAACTTCATGCTGGCACAACCTTTTCAAATACATCCCTCAAAAATAGCAACATCCCTGTCTTGGTCAAAGTCTACCTGTTCACATGCTCCAGATTATCCACTGGTGACCCCAACTGATCACTAAGCCGCCGCCGTTCTGGTGTGCTGACACAGAAGTGCTCGTTGCCAACAGTGATCCTTAAACTCTGTTCCAAGGAAGAATCCGAATGCAAACCAGGAGAGCGTCTCTACAAAATTAAAAGATAAGATGGTAGTCAAGTAGGGTGAAGATATCCCTACACCCCAAAATGCTCTTCTCTCAAGTCAGAACATGCAATCCAACAAGGTAAGAAGAATTGATTATGGTGAGATCCTACCACACCTACTGTGGTCAAGTTGATTCTGAATCATTGCAACTCTAAGGGGTAGAGTAGAATTGCCCCGTAAGGTTTCCTAGGCTATAAATCTTTACAGATGACTGTCACATGTTGCTCTCACAGGGGAGCTAGCTGGTGGGTTCAAATTGCCAATCTTTTGAATCAGGCAGAACATTTTAACCACTGTGCAACCAGGTAACATATTGCTCTAAAAAATAGTTAACTTTTAAAAAGTATCATTTTCTTAGCGCTAAAGGCCTATACTTGCAAGTATCCCAATCAGTGACCTCTCATTCTTTGACTGGGACTGGGCAAGAGAACAAGAATCAATCAAGTCCCTGCTCTAGAACCTACGCGTTCTAATAATACACACAAGCCCAAAACAAGTTGTTTTAATTTTTTTTCAAGTGCTTTATATAGCAGTTAAGTACTATAAAGGAGCTCTGGTCGGTAGTGGTTATGAGTCGGGCTGCTAACCTTCAAGTCAGCACTTCAAAACTACCAGCTGTTCCGCAGGACTAAGATGCGATTTTCTGCTCCAGTAAAGATTTACAGGCTTGAAAGCCCTATCCTGGGTCTCTATGAGTTGGAACCAACTCCATGGCACACCACCACCACCACTATAAAGCCATAAAAATTTAACATGAAAGAGATTGGGGACGAGGAGCTACTTTAGATAGAATGGTTAGAGAAGGCTTTTCTGAGCTATTTCGATCTAGCCCTGAATAAGGAGATGTCAGCTTTGCAAGAACAGGTGAAAAGATGTTTCAGGCAAAGGGAAGAGCAACCTTGGTAATGAGCATGATGTGTTTTGAGTAAGAGTAAGGATGGCTACAGCAAAGTAACAGAAGAGATAGACAGAAGCCATGGCTAAGAAAATTTATATTTTATTTTTGTGTAATGAGAAGACACAGGAGAGTTTTATGTAGAGGAGTGATGTGATCTGAACACATTCTTCCTATATAAGTTTGCATGGCTCATACCATCACCTACTTCAGATCTTTATTCAAAGCCACCTATCCAGGTCTTCCCAGATCACGTTATCAAAAATCACCAATTCATTCTCTGCTTTATTTTTTCATTAGCATTTACTCACATTTAACATGCCATAGCATTTTACTTCTTGATCTTATTAACGAGCTCCCACTGCTCAAATACAGGTTCTACAGAGATTTTTGTCTGGTTTGTTTACTGTTGTATCCTCAGTACCCAGAATAGTGTCTTGTACATGAAAGATCGTTGCTGTTGTTGTTAAGCGCCCTCAAGTCGGTTCTGACCCACAACAACCCTGTAGAGGATTTCCAAGGAGTGGCTAATGAGCTTGAACTGCTGACCTTGCGATTCAAGCCGCCTTTGCAGCCCAGCACAATAACCCACAGTTTAACTATAGTTCAAACGGTTTTGCAGTCTGGCACATTAACCTATAGCGCCAAACCAGGACTCTACGTGAATGATACTCAATAAACTGTCAGATGCATAAAATGAAGGTCACTTTAAAAAAAAAAAAAAATTTTTTGATAGTTCTATACAGAATAAGTAGGAGTGAATATGTGTGGCACTGTGGGTTCAATGCGCCAGGCTGCAAAACTGTTTGAACTGCAAGGTCGGCGGTTCAAGCTCACCAGCTGCTCCTCAGAAACCCTATACAGGTTCACTATGGGTTGGAACTGACTCGGCAGCACTTAACAACAACAAATGCAATACTATGGGTTAATACACCAGACTGCAAAGCCATTTGAACTGCAAGGTCACCAGCTCACCAGATGCTCCTCGGAAACCCTATACAGGATCACTATGGATCGGAACTGACTCAACGGCCTATCACAACAACAATGCAACACTGGAGTCCAGGTGTGGCACTGTGGATTAATGTGCTGGACTGCAAAATTGCTTTGAACAGCAAGATTGGTGGTTCCAGCTCACCAGCTGTTCCTCGGAAATCCTATACAGTGTCACTATGGGTCAGAATCTATCTGACTGCACTTAACAACAATGCAATACTGGTGTGGCACTGTAGGACCTGCACAGGACTGGTAACTGCAAGGCCAGCAGTTTAAACCCACCAACCGCTCCAAAACCCTACACAGGATCTCTATGAGTTGGAACCAACTGAAAGGCACATGAATAACAATGCAATACTCCAGGCAAGAATAGAGCTTAAACCAGAGTGGAGGCAGGACGACAGTTTTCAAGATGTGATTTTGCAGATAAAGGGACTCTGTTTCTGATTTAAGCACTGGGTGATGCCATGTACTGAGGCAGAGAAGACTGAGGCTAATAAATTGTGCACTGGAGATGGAGGAAGGATGTGGGAACAAGCACTTGGTTCCCTGCTTCCTCTTAAGTGACTGCACCTCACACTGACACTGCTCAGCTTTGCAAATCTTAACGTAGCGATTAGGTCAATCACCTATGGCCAGAGTAGTACAACCCTTGGATACACGTTGAGAGAGCCACTCAAGAAAACAGACACTTTGGCACTTCGGATTAAAGTTTGATGAGCCCCAAATAAAATCAAATTCCACACCACCAGAGTGCTGGTTTCCATGAGAGGTCAAGGTTCTGTCAAAGCCAAATTTCTTAACCTCACACACTGTAGCTGTAAACATTCCAGTTAAAATCCTGGGCTTTGGAACCGAAATCCCAGCTCCACCACTTCTTAAATTCTGTAAACTTGGTTGGGCACGGTACTTGAACCTCCCTGGATTCCTTCAGCTGTAGTGTCCTAAGAACTAACATGAAATGTCTCCTCTCCGAGAGTAGTGAGAATGAAGAGCCGGTCTCACGTCAGGGGTAAAGCATTCATTCCTGCCATCTAAGTCATTAAGCGGTTATTATGATGGCGGTGGTTGAAAGCACACTGTATTTCCGAGCAGTAGCTCAATCCAGGTGGCTACACCGTCAACCAGATCCCCATCCTGAGGATCCAAAAATTCCTACCTCGCCACAAAGTCGGGCATTTCGGTTCCTTTTCCGAGACCCGGGGTGGGGAAGTGGGTGGGGGGAGGGCAGCTTGGGCCTAAGGGAATGGATTCAGAACTCAAGGAAACGTTAACTCTCCCCAAAGTCCCAGGCAACACACGGTTTGGACCACATCCCCCGGGCCCGTGACAAATTTTCCAGCCCTCACTCGAGAGGGTACCGGTCGATTCCAGGCGCACCCCCATCCCCGACGGGGAGCTCGGGCGGGCCGAGCCCCGAATGTGTACAGATAGCTCCCGGGGCTGACAGGACGCCTCAGGCGTCGCGGAGGGAGACAGTGGGCAAGTGGGGCCTTCGGTTTTGAGACCCTGGCCTGGAGGCCTCAGGCGTCCCGGCTCCGGGCGTTTCTGGAAGCCCGGGCATGGGGAGATCCCGAGTAAGGGGTGGAATTACCCGGCTGCCGCTGTCGCCTGGATGGTCTCCGCGGCTGTCCCGGGGGAAATCGGCACGGGACTCCCCCCGGCTGCTGCCTCGGAAACCGGCTGGGCCCGGCGGCAAGAGTCGTCGGCCCCGCAGCGGCGACGGGGAGCCACGACGGGCCCGCGGCGGAGAGGGGGAACGGCGGCGACCCCGAGACGGGGACGGCGAGGCCCGGCGGCCTCGGGGCGGGGGCGGGGACGGGGAGCCGCGGCGACCCCGCGGCGGGGAATGCGAGGTCCGGCGGCTACGGTGCCCAGAGGGTGAGCGAAGCCGATGGGCCGGGGTCCGCGAAGAGGAGGAACCGGAGGGCGGCGGCGAGGCGCGGCGAGTCGAGCTTGAGGAGGAGCCGGAGCTGCGGCCAGTGTGAGGGCCGCCCCCGCCACTGTCTTTAGACCGGTGCGAAGAAACAGAGGAACGCGCACCGCTGCGGTACATGGCTCCGGCAACCACAGCCGCGGTTGCAGGTCCGACTCAGCGGCGCCCTGGACGCCGGCCGCGAGCGCGCCGCCGCAGCTGCAGCCGCCGCGCGCGGATCCCACAGCCAGAGGAGTCCCCTCCCCTCGGCCCCGCACCGCCCCTGAGGCCAGGCCGAGCGCGCCCCCGAGCCGCGGCTGGCGGTTGGAGGACGCGAGCACGCCCCTCCTGCTTTTACTTTCCGGCTCGCGCGGCACCCGGCTCCTCTACTCTCAGCGCCAGGAGGGGAGGGGAGAAGCAGTAGCTCGCGCCAAACTCGTCAAGGGGGCGGGGAAATGAAGCGCGCGACCTGCGCTCCGCACGCTCTGCCCCTCAACTGGCAAGATGGCGAACGCTGAACCGCCCACTTCCCCCCGGATGAGAGTGGCTCCGAGAACTCATTGCAGGGGGCCTGAGGCAGAAAAGAAATGATTAGCCTGAGAGAAAGTGGATCTTCTGAAGGGTTCCTGAAGCCTCAGGACTGGTCGGCTACGAAGCCTTGAGAGTATCTTCTTCCTTTCCCAGTCTCCCAGCTCTGTTTTATGTGGAGAGACAATTGTTGTTGTCAGGTGCCATCGAGTCGGAACCGACTCATAGCGACCCCATGCACAGCAGAATAAAACAATGTCCGATCCTGGGCCAACTTCACTACCGCTGCCACACTTGACGCCATCAATGATGCCACCTGGCTGATCCATTTCGTTGGGGGTCTTCCTCTTTTTCTGTGACCCTCCACCTTACCCAGCATGACATCCTTCTCCAGCGACTGTTCCCTCAGGACAATATGTCCAAAGTATGAGAGACAAAGCTTCCAACAGATATTTGAAATTTTTAAAAAATTGTGCTTTAGGTGAAAGTTCACAAAGCAAATTAATTTTCCACAGGTAGTTTGTACATAGTGTTCCATGACATTGGTTGCATTCCTCACAATGTGGCAGTCCTCTCCCCATTTCTACCTTTCCTCTTAATTTTCGGTCCCTCCTGTTTTCTCATCTTTGCCTCCCGGCAAATGTCGTTGATTGTTGTAAGGAATACATTACTCCCAGGTATAATTGTGTATTCTAGGAGGCCTGGTAGCGTAGTGGTTACGAATCGGGCTGCGAACCTCAAGGTCATCAGTTCGAAACTACCAGCCGCTCCGCGGGAGAAAGATGAGGCTTTCTGCTCCCGTTAAGATTTACAGCCTCGGAAACCCTGTACAGGGTCGCTATGAGTCGGAACCGACTCCAAGGCACATAACAACAACAAAGGAGGCCTAGTGTGGTGCTGCGGATTAATGAGCTGGACTGCAAGGTCAGTAGTTCAAGCTCACCAGCTGCTCCTTGGAAACCCTATACAGGGTAGCGGCCCTGTATATGAGTCAGAACTGACTCAGTGGCACTTAACAACAATTTGCTGAAAGATGATCTTCAGTAATGACTGCAGGTCCATGTCAGAAGGGTATCTTAGATTTTCAGCCTGGTGGGTTCATTCAGTCTCTATCAGAGCAGACAGACTGGTATTTTTTGTAAATCTGATTATTTGCTGTACATTTTTCTCCAATCTGTCCAAGACTCTGTGTTGTGATCCCAGTCAGAGCTATTGGTAGTGGTAGCCTGTCATCATCTAGTTCTCCGGGTCATGTAGGCTGTGATCATGTGGTCCATTAATCCTTTAGACTAATCCAATTGCTTCCTTGAGTCTTTGGCTTTATTCACTCTCCTTTGCTCCATATGGAAAGAGAACAAAAGCTATCTTAGATAGCCACTTGAAAGCTTTTAAGACCCCAGACACTATTCACTAAAGTAGAATGCAGAGCATTGACTTTACGAACTATATTGTGCCGATTGGCATAGATGTCCTACAAGTCTATGGTCCTTCATCTATATGATCCCAGGAACTTCATTCCTTGAGGTGTTTGTTTATGTCTAAGAAGTTCCCATGATTGTGCCCCTTGTTTGTTCTATTGTCTATATTAGTGTACATGCAGCACCTACAATTATGAATGTAGAAATATCCACACCCAAATATATCTACAGGTGGGTGTGCTCCCTTACACGCCCCCATACTTTTTTAGCATACCTACGTCTGTGTCTAGCTGTGGTAGCGTAGTGGTTACGAATCGGGCTGCTAACCTCAAGGTTGGCAGTTCAAAACTACCAGCTGTTCCGTGAGAGAAAGATGAGGCTTTCTGCTCCTGTAAAGATTTGCAGCCTCAGAAACCCTGTGCAGGGTCACTATGAGTTGGAACCGACTCCACAGTAATTAACAACAACAACAACAACAATACTGATGTAGCGCTGTAAGATAAAGCACTGGACCTCTAGGTCAGTTTGAACCACAAGGTCAGTGGTTCAAATTCACCAGCCACTCCTTGGAAACCCTATACAGGGTCACTATGAGTCTGAACCAACTCGATGGCACTTAACAACAACAAAAACAATACTATGATAGACTCCCCATGTGGCACTGTATGACAAGCACTGGACTGCAGATCACAAGGTCAGCAATTTAAACAGATCAGCTGTTCCTCAGAAACCATATACAGGATCTCTCTGAGTCGGAACCAACGCAACAACACTTAACTACAACAATAACAATACTATTGTATTAACAAATATAAGATTGTTATGGTATAGTGTGCGTTGGATCATAAGATTGGTTTGAACGGCAAGGTTAGTTCTTTGGAAACCTATACAGGGTCACTATGAGTTAGAACCCACTCTACGGCACATAAGTACCACCACCACCCCCTCTCATCCCAGGTAGTTATCAATTTTTTTTTTTCTTTTGTTTGTAAACCTTTTCTTGTTTTGTTTGTTTGTTTGTTTTAATAATAGTCTTCTCATTTTTGTTGTTATGTGTCATGGGATTGGTTCTGACTCATAGCAACCCTGTATAGGATTTCTGAGGTCATAAATCTTTTGGGGAGCAAAAAGTCTCATCTTTCTTTCATGGAGTGGCTGGTGGTCTCCACCAACCTACCTTGTGGTTCAGTCCCATGCTTATTCTCTAATGGGCTCCCACTTGTACAATATTTGTTCTTTTGTGATTGACTTATTTTACTCAGCATCTTGTCCTCTCAATTCATCCATGCTATAAGATGTTTTGCAAATCCATCATTATTCTTTATCATTACAGAGTATTCCATCATAAGTAGGTACCAAAGTTGCTTGTTCATCCATACATCTGTTGCTGGGCACTTATGTTGTTTCCATCTTTTTGCTATTGTGAATAATGCTGCAATGAACATGGGTATTCATATGTCTCTTCATGTAATGACTTTTATTTCTTTAGGGTATATACAGAGGAGAAGAGTGGTGTTGTAGGATAAGCACTGGACTGCTAACCGCAAGATTGGCAATTCAAACCCACCAGCCACTCCTTAGAAACTCTATACAACATCTCTGTAAGTTGGAACTGACTCAATGGAACTTAACAACAACACAAAGGAGTAGAATTGCTGACTCATATGGCATTTTTATTCATAGCTTTTTAAGGAAGTGCCATGCCATTTTCCAGTGGTTGTAACATCTTAAATTCCCACCAGCAGTGTATAAGAGTTCCAGTCTCCCCACAACCTCATCA